AGGAAATTCCTCACCGCAATCAAACAAATTAGCATCAACGACCCTCATTTCTGTGATTCATCTGTTGTGATCTGCTCTGTTTTGGGTTAACTTCAAGTTCTTTGAATGATTTAAATGATATTGTTGTAGCTGCTGTTTGTGCCAAAGGCACAATACCATGCTAGTTTTCAGTACTGATGCTGAGCCATCTGCAGTAGGGTCCAAATAAGTGCAGAGAAAAATATATGTGCTGTAAATGAGGTTGATTTCATTCATTCTGATTAAAATACACTGATTTAAAGAAACACTCTGCTATGAAGTAGCCTTATTATTTCTGTGATGTGGGAAGCACAAACAGAAGTCAATTCAATCATAAAGAGGTTGCAAATTTTGTCAATTTTTGGAAAAATAAAACAAAAGTAGTGTTGTCCTTTCTGTGAGACTGTGTTAATTAAACCTCAAGAATTTACATGAACATCTATCAAAGCAAAGGTTCAGAAGAAACTGTGAAAGAAATACAATACTTCAGTACAATATAATGTACATCTTTCATTTATAATAATTTATAATAATATAATTCATTCATTCATTTTATTTTTGGCTTAGTCCCGTTATTAATCCGGGGTCGCCACAGTGGTATGAACCACCTAATAATATAACAATTTCAGTAAACTGAACATGCTTTTGATTACTGAAATATATATTTTTAAAAAGCACACACACACACACACACACACACACACACACACACACACACACACACACACACACACACATATATATATATATGTATGTATATATATATATATATATATATATATATATATATATATATATATATATATATTTTTTTTTTTTTTTTTTTTTTTTGCTTAAATATATTTGGTGTCATCACTGAAAATGAATCTCAACATGAACATAATACACTATTAAATATGATGATTATGACAGCATGCCAGTGGAAATATTAACAAAAAGGAGATAAAGCATCTATGTATGCATGTTCACTGCTACACACTGCTATTAAATAACCCATAAAATAAAGTAATACAAATATGAGAAGTAAGTATTTGTGTGGATATATCACAAAAGTGGAGTGTCAAAAACACTATATACAGTGGAAATCAGAATTACTATCCCTTTATTTTCACCCCCAATTTCTGTTTTACAGAAAGTAGATTTTTTCAACACATTTCTAAACATAATAGTTTTAATAACTCATTTCTAATGACAGATTTATTTTATCTTTGCCATGATGACAGTAAATAATATTTGACTATATTTTTCAAGACACTTCTATACAGCTTAAAGTGACATTTAAAGGCTTAACTAGGTTAATTAGGTTAACTAAGCAGGTTAGGGTAATTAGGCAGGTTATTGTATAATGATGGTTTGTTCTGCAGACAATCAAAAAATAGCTTAAAGAGGCTAATAATATTGACTTTAAAATGCTTTTTAAAAAATTTAAAACAGTTTTTTTCCTAGCCAAAATAGAACAAATAAGAGTTTCTCCAAAAGAAAAATATTATCAGACATACTGTGAAAATTTCCTTGCTTTATTAATCATTTGGGAAATATTTAAAGGGGGGCTAATAATTCTGACTTCAGTTGTATATACACTTTATCTTGTATATGAAGATACCTACCATGCTCTGTGCTGATGGCTGCCACAGGCATGATGCTTGAAATCTGTAAATAAGACAGAGATTTAACATGAATATTTAGCATCATCATTAGGACTTGAGGGTAAAGTATAAGCAAAATAAAGAAGTTAAAATAATAAATGAATGTTAAAAAGAGTAAAGGCTTTTACTAACAAGCTGTAGTTTTATACCAATACATATAAATATAAAAGAGAACAAAACATGCAGTCTTTGTGCGTACGTGCATGTGTGTGTGAGGTGGGAGGGAGAGAATGAATAGTTTTTAGGGGAGCTTTAATTCAGCCCTTCACCCCAAATGAAAGCATGACCGGGAGCAGGTGCACAGAATGCAGGAGGTGGAGAGAGGGGAGTAACACTAATGCTGAGAGTGACACTCAAGGCTTTTATTTCTATTTATCAAGCAGCTTTTTGTGGTATGCTTGATTGTGATTGCCCATTTGCTGCAATGAACTAAACTGTAAAGATTAAAGTCTGCTGTCCAAGGAAACAGATTTACCTATAGGTCTTATGTTATTTTTCTTTTCATTTCATAACATCTAATAACTAGTGTATGTATTTGTATAAAAGGCAAGATAGTGTTCTGTGTCATATGAGTAGGACCAGACAGAATCTATTTCTGCGCACGAATTTTGTAAAAAAAAAAAATTAGCAGATTTATGTGGAATGATTTTTTGGGAGAATCACAACTAAAAACTTAATATATAAAATTTTAAAATACTATATTTTTAACTCTTATTTGCTGTTTACAATGCAAATCCAATTAGATCCACTTATTTGGTAAACAAAGTCTCACATATAATATTTCTACTAAAAGAGAAAATATTACTTTACAAACTGTAAATAAATCATATGAATATTTTAATATTAGTAAATGGTATGAATGAAATTAGTTTCAAAACGGAATATGAATTTAAACACATTTACACAAGTAAATAAATAGACTCGATGGGCTAAAACTGCAAAAAATCTGTGGATTTCTGTGCGCGCAGATTCTGTGTGGGCCTACATATGAGTGATAGACAGACAGAGAGAGAAAGAGAGAGATTTCCATGTTCCTGAAACAGTGTAAACAGCGTCCCAGTAAGCAAGTACACTAATCCCTTAAAGACCTGAAGAAGGATCAGAAGAGTTTAAAACCTGACACACCTCTTTCTCACTTGTGCGCACACACATTGGCTTTTCATGTTTTATATGGACTCTCCATAGACATAATCATTATTATACTGTACAGACTGTGTATTCCATGCCTCCCCCCCAACTCTACCCCTAAATCCAACCCTCACAGAAAATAATTCAGCAATTTTACACATTAAAACACATTCAGTGGGATTTATGTGTCATTTTCCTTATGGTACCAAAAAACAAAAAGTCCCCAAATGCTAAAATTACAGGTTTTTCTATACTTCTGGGGTTATAAAATTGTCTTTAGACATTGGCTCACACAAAACAACAAAAAATAAATACACTTACACAATTATTTTAAAATACTATAGTGAATAAATGTGAATAAACGTCTTCCTGTACTTGGCCTTTTTTGCTTTATAAGGGACGTTATACCATCTACCAAATAGAAGTAACTTAAAGAAACCATGGCTGTTTCTCAATATGCGTTCTTTAGAGATTTTGCGTCCTCGTGTTTTTGTGTAACGTCATCATCAGCTGCCAAAGCTCAGTTCCAAAACTCAAGACTGCAAGAACGGAGGACGCGTGAAACTTCCTGGATGTGTTCATGATATCAAAGATGCGTGGATGCAGACTTAAGCACAAAATTCACTTGAGAAGTCGTAGATGTTATTGCGACTGAATAAATCATGTGGGAAGCGCAGCATCTTATAGAAATGTATTATTAAAGTTCAGAGATATAACCTATCTATCTAAGAAGTTTCTCTAAATGAGATGGTGAAAGTAAACATTACTATGAAAATCTTACATAAAACGCAATTATGGTTTTTATTTGCAGAAATTCGTATTAAAATCTGTTTTATTTGTACTGTGCAACATATTTGTAAAGTCTTTATGCATAGTATATATTGTGAAAAGGGGGAAAACAAAAAATTGCTGTATGAATGCTATAATGTTTAATAATTTTCCACAAAAAATGCGTGAAGGTCATGTGACCATCAGCAAGAACGCAGCGTCTCATTTCTCACAGGACGCGTTCTGTGTTTTTGCGGTCTCCTGAGTTTGTTCTTCTAAAGCAGGGGTCACCAACATGGTATTTAAAAATAGCTCACCATAGCGCCACTTACCAGTAAGCTTCATCTAATATAGAAGTAATCATTTAAAAATGTAAATATTTGCAGCGATATATAAAAATAAAGCGTTGCACATTGATACATTAAATACAGGTTACTTCCTACCCTGTTAATTCATTGTTGATAACTTTTGTGAGAATCATTAACATGATCAGTGTCTTCACATGGATGAATATCATTAATTATTACCAAAAACATAAAATATAATTAAAAGTAAATTGAGCAAATGTGTTATTTGAGAAGTGTTTATCAAACTGGTAGCCCTCCACATTGATCGGTACCCAAGAAGTAGCTCTCAGTTTCATAAAGGTTGGTGAACCCTGTTCTAAAGTAACTAGGCAAGACCGCTCTCCACAAGAACATAAGTCGGTTCTCTGCGTTCTTGGAATTGAGAAACAGCTCATGTAAAGTATGGAAAGAGTCTTCCCCAATAGTGGAGGTTTTATTTTTTTTATCGCTGCTATGAATAAATCAGTGAGAGGTGTTTGTCTCTCACCAATTATTTTACTTACTACATTTACTAACCTTAAAATTAGCTTGCTTTTTTGCTTTTAACAGAGAGGGATTTAAACCAGGCTACAAAGTTAAAAGTAAGGACAGATCTTATTGATTTAAGGTATATACGACAATCAATTTCAAAACTTCAGTTTTCTCAACACTTAACCGCTGCTGAGCCTTTTTTAAAAACATTCTCTGAGTGTTTATCAAAAGAGAATTAAAAGTCCATTTCCACACCTAAATATACAAAAGAACCCATCTGTGCAACTTCCTCCGCATAAATTAATAAAGGGTCACAAACTGTTCCTATTTTGTTTGTCCCACAACACATTTATTTCGCCTTACTTATGTTAATTCCTTCCAGTTTAACATTAGTACGACAAAATAAATGTGTATAAACAAAATAAATAAACAAAATAGAAACATTTAGAAATAGACAGAGTTTTTGTGAATTGTGGAGACATTCCAAAGGTTTCCATTGTTTTTATATTGTACAGATTGTATTTTCTATCGCTCTACCCCAACCTGAAACCAAAGCCTCACAGAAAACTGTGCGCATTTATAATTTCTGAAAAACTCAACCTGTATGACAACCAGTGCATCAGGAAATGGGGACATGATGAGCAATGTCCTCATAATTCCCCATCTCCTTGTAATACCTTTGTCTTTCTCATGTCAGTATTCACAGTTGTGTCCTGATATATCACACACACACAAACACACACACACACACACACACACACACACACACACACACACACACACACACACACACACACACACACACACACACACACACACACACAAAACTATCAGGAATACAATTATTTTCTGATTGTGGACATCTGTCGTGTTTTTCACAATCATGAGCTAGACTGTCAATCATGTTATAAAACAGCATGCGTTACGTAATGAATGCACTGATAGAGCACACAGAGGGTACTGAATTACCCGTGTTTACTCCAGAGACAATTACACTGCCTTCACTATACTTAAGCTCAAAGAAAGATCTTCCCATGGGGGCTTTAACAGCACACAGATCCACTAGCATTCTTTCAAAAGACACGCACGACACACACAAGCACAGATAAGCGAATTCAAAAGTTTTCTCTAAATCCCATACAGCCCTGAAATGTTTTTACATGCACTGTATGACGGAGGTGGTTGCCATAGTGATCGGTGTTCTCCCACATGTTACGTAGGTTATGAGCGGAGTGACTCGTTTCCCTGAAGGAGAGAGCAGCTGCCCGAATTCAGCCTCAGTTCCTGGAAGCTGGAATGTCTGACTTAATAACCTGCTGGACTATTTGAGGCTACTGTACGTGTAGTTCATTCAATTTTTCATTCTCGATTACTCTACTTCATGTTGTTTCACACCTGTATTTGGAAGGTTGTAATGACATGAGGCTGGTTTATTGTTTTGAATGATACATTTGAAATGACATTTATCAACAATGGCAGTTCATTCCGCTGTGGCGACTCCAGATTAATAAAAGGACTAAGCCGAAAAGAAAATGAATGAATAAATTTATCAACAATCATTTCGAATCACTTGAAAAGGTTTACGTTGAGCTGTACTTTAAGAGTTTGTACTCAGTGTACAGTATGTGAGTTGGAGGTTAAATGAGGATAAATAAGCCTCTTTTTGAGGCATTATATGCCTTCTAATAAACCTGACAATGCACAATGATTATATTATATTACATTATATTACATTATATTATATTATATTATATTATATTATATTATATTATATTATATTATATTATATTTATTATATTATATATTAATATATTAGATTATACTATATTTATTATATTATTTTTATTATATATTACATTTATTATATTATATATTAATATATTAGATTATACTATATTTATTATATTATATTATATTTATTATATATTATATTATATTATATTATATTATATTATATTATATTATATTATATTATATTATATTATATTATATTATATTATATTATATTATATTTAGGGCTGAGCAATAATTCGATAACGATAATTATCACAATATATATTTTTCGATAAACCAATAATGACAGTTCGATAAGTGTGTGATAATATTTACGCACTATGCATAACGCTGTGCAGGCATTTTGCAGCCTGCACTTCCAGATGCCACACGTAGTACAAGTTTACAGCCATACAGTATTAGTTGCACTTGGAGGAGAAAGAAAAAAATAAGGTTAAAAAAATAAGGTCACAGACAGACTAGACTTCAGTAGTCTGGAGCTACTTAATTTTTTGCAATCTGACACAAAACAGAGCAAGGTGCACAGTGTAGACGACTTGTGCCATCAAAAACAGGCAACACCACAAACCTGTTTCATCATTTAAAAAATCCCCCCTTATGAAGACGCTAAAATATTACTGACCAAAACATTTGTTCATTCATTCATTCATTCATTTTCTTGTCGGCTTAGTCCCTTTATTAATCCGGGGTCGCCACAGCGGAATGAGCCGCCAACTTAGGTAGGGAGAACATGCAAACTCCACACAGAAACGCCAACTGAGCCGAGGTTCGAACCAGCGACCCAGGGACCTTCTTGCTGTGAGGCGACAGCACTACCTACTGGCCACTGACTCGCTGCTTGACCAAAACAACTGTTGGTAAACGTGGACCATCTACAAGCGTCAGCGCAACTAGCCAGAAGTCACATGTTATTATTTTAAAAGCTGTGCCTTATGAGAAAAAAACGTAAAGACACTATAACAGACCACACAATCTCAATAAACACTTGATGCTTGCTGTAAACTGCTGTAAAATACATAGGGGCATTCATTACAACATCGATAGGATCTTTTGTTGTCAAGCTAATGTTTCCTTTTTAATATTAAGATATTGTCTTTAAAATCTGTAATAAGCTATCACTATTGTCCCTCATCAACGGTATATACAATTGAAGTCAGAATTATTAGCCCCCCTTAATTACTAGCCCATTGTTTTGTTTTTTTCCCCAATTTCTGTTTAACTGAGATGTTAAATAACCGAGATTTCACTGAGATTTTTCAATACATTTCTAAACACAATAGTTTTAATAACTCATTTCTACTAAAAATATCTAATAAAAATGATTTATTTTATCTTTACGATGACGACAGTAAAAAATACTTTACTAGATATTTTTCAAGTTTTCAAGACACTTCTATACAGCTTAAAGTGACATTTAAAGACTTAACTAGGTTAATTAGGCTAACTAGACAGGTTAGCGTAATTAGGCAAGTTATTGTAAAATGATGGTTTGTTCTTTAAACTATCGAAAACAAATAAACTCAAAGGGGCAGATAATTTTGACCTAAAAATGATTTAAAAAATTAAAAATAAAAATGCTTTCAATTATTTTATATTATTTTATATATTTTTATATACCTTTATATTTATTATTTTATTATTTTATAGATTTTCACCAGAAGAAAAAAAAATCAGACGTACTGTGAAATTTTCCTTGCTCTGTTAAACATTGTTTGGGAAATATTTAACAAAAAAAATCAAATGGGAGCTAATAATTCTGACTTCATCTGTATAAACAAATTTATATTTTCCTGCCAGTTTGATGCAAGCAAAGTTTTACTTATTAAACATTCCTTGTCCTGAACTCGCTGCAAGTAAGATGGAGAAGATAAAAGGACATCATCACTGAGGAGAAATCAGATGCTCAAGATAAAATCTTTAAAATAATGACATATTGAAAATGCAGCAAATACATGACAGACGTTTGCGATACAACAACAGTGAATCATTCATTAAATCCTTATTTTCCACAGAGCAAAACATCATCCACCCACACAGTTGTGTAAGAATGGCACAAACAAAAATATATTTTTTCTTTAAAGATTAAAAGTTTACAAAAGTTTACAAATATCTGTTGTGAAATTGGCATTTTCAATACAATTAGCTTTAAAGATTTTACTATAATTTTCTATTCTATTGATGTAAATGACACTAATTTGTTAGAAAAGTAGTTTCTCTGAGTATCACTTCTAGGAGTATCACTCTTCAAGCCATTCATAAATTCTTTAGTGATTTAAACTGTGCTTTAAAAAAACAAAACCAGCGCTTTAGCATATTTAAAATACTATTACAGGTGTTTTTTTTTTCAAATGCCAATTTTATTGATGCAAAGATGAAATTTAACAAGAAAGGCAAGTGTTTAAATACAATCTTCAGTTTTTCAGCTAAAAGGTCAGATGGAATTATAGAAATTACTATTTGACATTTGTGGCAAATAAAAACAGAAGCAAAGTAAAAAAGAAATACTCATTTAGAATATCAGTTATCGGGTCCATAAATATGCAAATAATCCAAATAATTAGTGTCGGCAGTAAAAAAAACAATTAGAAATGCTAATATTTGATCAGTAAATCATTCATTAAATAAAGGAGTTTGTTTCGTGTGGTTTTCTAAGGCAAGTGTGTGAAAGTGTTGCTTACTGTATGTAGCTGAGCTCAGTCCCACTGGGATGGAGAGGTCAGACTTGACACACACACGCACGCACGCACGCACGCACGCACGCACGCACGCACGCACGCACGCACGCACGCACACACACACACACACACACACACACACACACCTCAGTTTCATTTACACTCCAGCTTATTAACAGACATGACGAAGCTCAGATAGTTGCTGCTATACTGGGACCTAGTGTGACTTCACCTCAGTCCAGTTTAGTTCATCACAGGCAAACATTAACCCGCATTTTTTTTTTATATCATGCAGCTCATTTCCAGCATCTGGTTTCCGGTGTTAAAAACAGGTCTTTATTAATGGGTGTTGACTGTGCTTTCTTGTAATATATAGGTGTTGCAAATGCCTCAAGCTCCTTTTTCTGTATGTCCACTAGTTATTTCTGCACCTTTATTCATAGAGCACCTCAGGGCTCCATCTCCTTTACTTTTATTAACCAACAAAAAAAAAAACAATCAAGTTTTATTGTTGACCTACAGGCACCATTGTGTTATCGCAGGGCATAAATTGCTCCTCTGCTCAAAGTGTTTGATTAAAACATTAAATATTGAGCATTACAGTCAGTGCAATTTTAGCATAAATGACAAAGAAGATATAAAATAAAGCAATGTACAGTGTTGTACATGCTAAACACTAAATATATGCAAAATAAAATATAAAATAGAATATATAATCCACTGAATATGAACTTTTTTATTTTTGTAACATTGAAATAGTTTTAAAGTGTTTATTAATAATTTTTTTTATCTTTACACATTTGTTTATGCATAATGAATTTTACGCTTATTTATTTATTTATTTATTTATTTACTTATATAAATATTTGTATGGTTTTACTTGACAATAATCACCCAGGAAAAAAAACAATAGTAAAATAATAATAATAATAATAATAATAATTATTATTATATATATGTATATATATATATATATATATATATATATATATATATATATATATATATATATATATATATATATATATATATATATATATATATATATATATATATATATATATATATATATATATATATATATATATATATATATATATATATATATATATATATATATATATATATATATATATATATATATATATATATA